GTCTGAATCAGATTATAATAACGTTTTCCTACAGAGTAGCTATTACTGCGTAACGTTAACTTACAGAGTAAGACCATGAAAAGAAAAACGAAAACTAAATGAAGTAGTTTAAAAGGTTAAAAACGTTCCTCACATTACTGCTAATCTTTCCCATACTTTTATAAACACTTCCTATGCTCTTAAACACTTTCTACACTCTTAAACCTACGCAAATTTGACAACAAAATCCTCTATGGGCATTCTTCAATGAAGATACCACAACTTGAATAATTAAGATGATGAGTTAGCTGTGCAATACTGATGACGATAAAGGAGATGAAGTCAAGATGGATGTACTGTATGGTCAAGAATAAAATTACAGCTCTTCTGAAGGTGCAACTTTATCAGCTGGTACAGTATCTTCGCTCTTGTCAGTAGCTTGCTTTCTCTAAAGATGTCGGCGCAACTGGTATATTCTTCCGAATGAGGAACACAGTTATGGAGAGTTGCTGAGGCTGCTTTTTCTGGACGAGAAGGTTTTTACAAACCGACATGCCAACCTCGATTGTATTTGAAAACTGCAATGAGCGAAGAATCTTGGGGTCCCATTCTTGAGCCACTCGCTGAAGTTCTTTGGCCATTCTAATTATGGTTACGAAACAATCGAGTGTTGGGTCAACCTCCTCTTCTTCAACCCCTAGTTCCTCTTGTTCCTCTTCCTCGCTTGCTGACCTTGTCATTTCCGTCAGATCTTCGTCCGTCAGCGGTTGTGAGTGGGCATCTATCAGGTCATTAACTTCTTCAGGAGTTATATCGTCGAAGCCATCTCCTCCAAGTAGTTTTGATAGTTTCATGGCCTTATTGAGAACAAAGTGATGGACTTCATCAGGAGAGAAACTCTTGTAATCTTGGGCCACTTCTGGCCACAAAATGTTTCAGCTGGCATTTAAAGTTTCACTCTATATCTCCTTTATGGCCTTCTGAATTCTTAGTAGACGATGTAGTGGTGTAGTCACGCCAGTAAACCTTTATCTAGAATTTTTCTTCCGAGTCCACAGCTTCAACAACGGTTTTTAAGGCGTTCCGTGTATAGAGAGCCTTAAAAGCTCGAATAACTTCTTGATCCACGGGCTGAATCAGCGATGTGGTGTTCGGCGGCAAGAACTCTATCTTCATACAGTCATACGACAGATCGACAGCATGGTCTCCAGCATTGTCCATGATCAGAAGCACTTTGAATTCGAGGCCTTTCTCTGCCAGAAAAAGTTTGACCTCCTGGATAAAGCACCGCTGAAACCAATCCGACGTGAGGTATTTCATGATCTAGGCCTTGGTTTGTGATCCGATACACAGGCAACAGATTCTTATTCTTGTTTTTAGGGCCCTTGGGTCTTTGGACTTATAAACAGTCCTGGCTTTATCATAAATGCCGCAGCATTCCCACACATAATCAAAGTGACACGATGTTTTAAATCCTTAAACCCGGGGGCTTGGCTTCGTCCTTCATAATAAAAGTGAGATGGTATTAGCTTCCAGAATAATCCCATCTCATCCATATTAAAAACATGTTCAAGCTTATAGTCACCTTCCTCGATGGTGGTTTTGAATGTGTTGTTTAAGTACTCCTCGGCTCCAGTTTTATCCACAGAGGCTGCTTCTCCATGCAGAGAAACTCTGTCAAGTCCAAAGCGTTTCTGAAACTTGTCAAACCAGCCCTTATTGGCACTGAATGGGGTTAATCTGATAGGAGAAGCAGTCGATGGCCCTGCTTTTGCGTTGTCATTCTCGTTACTGCTTTTAGCAAAAGTTTCGTAAATCTTCTTGACCTTCACGCGGATAATGTTGGTATCCAGCGAGATATTCTTCTTCTTGAAGCCACCAATCCACAGCGTCAATACAAACGCCATCCTCACAAAGGCCCTATTGCGGAAAGTTACCACTTACTTCGCTGTCTACTGTTCTTGAGAAGAGATCCGCCTGTTCTTCGATGGTAAGCATCTGCCTCTGACGCTTGGGTTCAGTGTCAGAAGCCTTAGAAGGCGTGAATGTTTGGGCGACATCATAAGGCTTGAAGTAAATTCAGTTTTTTTAC